TTCCCTCCCAACCAGCCCGGAGAGCTGGCTTTCTCTTCTTTTCCCTAAGCCTAACCCTTTCCTCCAGCCGGCGGGGGCCGTGCTGGCTGCCTGGAGGAAAGGAAGGCGAGGAGAGGCCCGAGGTGGGGGGGGGGAGAGGCAGGCGGAGGGGCTTTGTCGGGGATCCCCGCTGGCCGAGCAGAAGGCAGAGAGAGGCTGCTCGGTCGGTCTCCCTGTAAGGCCGGGTGCTCCGGTGGGGCTGGATTTGGCCCTCTACCCTCTACCACCTCACAAGCTGTTTGGCTAAGGATCGCCCTCATTTGAGGGAAGCTCACGGTTCAGTGGGGAGAACCCCTGCAAGGCACAGGATCCGTGCAGCAGAAGCCTTGGCCAATGGCCTGGAGCCCTCAGGTTGGCGGCCAGAGGGAGGGGAGCTTCAGACGGGAAGACCCTTTTTAGGTGGCAATCCTGCGCGGATCCCAACCTAGGAGGAAGCCTGATCTCCCTCTTGAGTGGGATGTGGGTTTTGTTGGCGGCCAGAGGGAGGGGAGCTTCAGACGGCAAGACCCTTTTTAGGTGGCAATCCTGCCCGGATCCCAACCTAGGAGGAAGCTTGATCTCCGTCTTGAGTGGGATGTGGGTTTTGTTTTTTGTTGTTTGTGTGTGTGTGTGTGTGTGTGTTTTTGGTTGGTGGTTTATTTTTTATTTTTTTATTTTTTTGCGTGAATGGAGAGGATTAGGATGGGGCTCCCGGTGAGTCCCGACCCAAGAGACTGGAGGGGTCCACCTTGGAGGGGGGAGAGGGCCAGCCGGCTGGGCAAGGGCTGCTGGAAGGGCTCCCGTGCAGGAAGTCTGCGCAGCGTTTGGAGCGTGTCCCTCTCTGCCCACAGCCACCTGTTGTCCTTGGGAGCAGGCAGGGTAGATGAGGGCCCTTAAGATCCCTCTCTGCACTTATTACTCAGTCGTTCTGTTTCCCAGGAGAGACGTCGGCATCACCCTCCAGAATGGCCCCCATGGAGTCCACCGAGCCCCTGCCCGCGGGGGTTGTCCCCGGCATCCAGGACGCTGCCTTGCCAGATCAACGGCCCCCCAGCCCGGAGCCTCCTCCCAGGCTCCCCCCAGGCCCGGCCTTCCTGGCCCCCGGGGTGGACGTGACGGCCCTCTCTCGCACCATCCGCCTATACCGCCCGGCTGGCCCCCTCTCGGGCTCCCAGCCCCTCGTCTTGCTGCTGCCCTGGTTTGGGGCTCAGCCCCGGGCCTTGGCCAGGTACCTCTCCCTCTACCTGGGGCGCCGCTGGCCTGTGCTGGTGGCGGACAGCGCCCTGGAGCACTTCCTGTGGCCGCGCTGGGGACTGGCATACGCCGCCCGTGTGCTTGGGCTGCTCGGGGAGGGGACGGCCCTGGGCACCCGGCCCCTCCTCATCCACGCCTTCTCCATCGGCGGGTACACCTTCGCCCAGATGATGGTGCATCTGGCCAGCCACCCGGAGCAGCACGCTGGCCTTCGGGAGCGGATCCGTGGCTTGATCTACGACAGCCTGGTGGCAGGAAGCCTGGCAGACATGGCCCAAGGTGAGTGTGCCGTCCGGCCCTGGGTCAGCCGGAAGGGGGGAGGGGAAGGGGTAGCAGGAAACAGGTGAGCACCCTCTAGGATCCTGGCCCCAAAGAGCACCTCCTCCTGTCAAGAGGAGATGGGCAGAATTTGGAGAGCTGGGAGGGAACCCAAAGGCCATCTAGTCCAGCCTCCTTCCCTTGCAGGCAAACCACAGCGGGACCATCCCTGACAGGTGGCCACGGTCAGTTCTCACCCTCAGGAAGCTGTTCCTACAGCTGAGGTGAAACCTGCTTTCTTGCGATGGGCCTGAGAGGGGAAGGCAGACCTTGGGTGCCCTGGAGTTCAGCCCCAGCGACGCCCTTGCAGTTTTGACTCTCAGCCCGTGCTCAGAATTCCTGCCATGCCAGGTCCTGCTTTCCGGATCACACTGGACTTTGCCCTCTCTTGGGGCAAGTGGGGGGGCAATAAGGTTTAACCTGCCCAGCTGGGACATCAAAGGTCTGGGTTCAAGTTCTGACGGAGCTCCCGGAATGACCTTGGGCCAGCCATTCTCTGTCTTGGTCAGCCTGGCTCCCCACACAGGACTGGACAGTGGCCCTGGGCCATCTCTGCCTCAGAAGACATGGGTCCTCTGAGACCTTCTGAGGAAATACAGGGCAGACGTCTTAACCCACAGATAAAACCATTGGGTAGGGCTGAGTCCAGGAGACAGGTGGGCTCCCAAGACGGAGCAATGTTTTCCTGGCTTAATGTGCCTTTGAGCCCAGGAGGGGAAGCCTTCGCGCTTGGTACGGGCTCACTTCCGAATGCCTGGGCATAGCCCTCCGTTGGCGCCGAAACCGACACACCGCTGCCGTTTGCACTCGGTGCCGCTGTGGCCTCCTCCGAAGGAGACACACCTGGACCTGCCTTTCTGGTCCCGAGCAGGGCAGTGGCCTTCGCGTGATGACTCCTGCCTGTCAGGCCCCTGAGGTTGAGGGCAGCCCCCGAGAGAGGATGCCGGGGAACAAGGGGCAGCAGCAGCAGCAGCAGCAGCGCAGGGCCTTGGCTCTCCCTTGGGAGAAGAACTCCCCAGGTTGGTGCTCCACTTTGCCTTCAACGTCCTCGGCTGGAAGAACGAAGCTCTCCAGGCCGCTCCAGACCCGGAATTTACCCCTCGGGCCCCTGATGGTCCTCCCTGCACGGACGTCACAGGCAGGGCGTCTCTTCCGCTCCACCCCTGCCTCGCCATGGAGAAGCACAGACCGAGGTAGCCAGGGCAGGACTCGGAGGCTGCCTTTTAGCAGAGCAGGTTTCTCAGTCTGTGCCAGAGGTTCTCAAAAAAAAGCACCCCCCCCCCCCCCCCAGAAAGCCTTGCCTGCTAATATTCCTGGGGAGGGAGTCAGGAGGCAGATTTCCTACCTCCTGGACCAACCCTGCACAGCCGAGAAAGCGAGGCAGTGGTTGGAAGTGGGCCGTTTGCAATGCAAGCTGAGACGGCCTGTCCTGTGCAGGCAAAGCCACTGAAGCGATGGGGGCCACCTTTTCCGTGGTGCTAGCCCAGTGTAACTTCCCCCCCCTTTCAGGCACCGGGCACCGCCTGCCACACCAAACACCAGCAGAACCAGGTGGCAGCAAAGCCGGGCAGCGGGGGATGGGACCGGGGGGGCACAGTGGTTCCAAACCGGAGGGGGCCCCCCGCTTCCCTTCATCCTTGCAGCCGGTGCTGTCGCTCGAGGGTGCTGGCCTTCAGTTGCCTTTCTTCCTTCCACTCAGGGGTGGCCAAGATGAGCAGCAGCTCAGCAGCCTTGCGCCCGCTCATCCGCCGAGGGACCCTGTTGTACTTCAGCCTCTTCCGGCGATGCACGGTGCCATATTATGAGGCCGCCCTTGACGTCTTCCACCACCCGCCCCTCCGCTGCCCCGTCCTGGTCTTCTACTGCCACAATGACCCGCTGAGCGACATCCGGGTGATGGAGCAGCTGCTGGACACCTGGCGGGCGGCCAGCATCCCCGTCCACGTGCAGGAGTGGCAGGTGTCCCGCCATGCGGCCCACCTGCGCCTCTATCCCCAGGAGTACACCCGAGCCCTGGACGCGTTCTTGCAGCAGCTGGACCTGGCCCCCGACAAACCCCTAGCAAAACTGTAGGAGGGGAACCGGCCGGCTCTCACCCTTAGGAATGACCAACTGGAGGAGATGGGTGGCACAAGAGCCCACCCCCACCCCCCACCCCGCCAGCCAGGCCGCGCCCTGGAAAGGAAAGAAGGGTGCTGGCGAGAGGAGGAGGATTCCTGGGTCGGAAGGAGGGTCTCTCCCCAACCAAGGGAGAGCAAGGGCACACAAGCCACAGACGGGCACCCTTCCCAGCCCCATTTGGTACAGGGTCTCAAGGGAGACAAGGAAACCCCCTGGAACGTGGCTCTCCCGTGGCATTTTCACTCGTGGAGCCAGAATCAGAGGCAGGATCACGGTCCCCCGACGACCCCCCTCTCCCTTCCACAATAAAGCCCTTCCTCCAGTTGCAGGTTGCCTGTATGTGTGCGTGCGCACCCGTCTTGAGAGCGAGGAGCTGCCTTGGTACCTCCAGGGAGGCAAGTCTGAACATGCCACAAGGGGAGGATGCTTCTCCGGCTCTGAAGGAGGAGGAAGGGCTCAGCCCTTGAATAATTGGTCCCGCTCTTCTCTCCAGCCCCCACCATGGATTAAAAACCTGTGCCCCCTCCTCCCCCCACCCCCCAGCACACATGCCATGGTGTTGAGCGGGCTCCTGGCTCTACCCAAAGGGGGCAATAGTGATCAGCTACGCTTGCCTCCAACTTGCTGGGCATGATTCCCTGCTACAGCAGAAGAGGTTTGCCTAAGAGTTCACTCCCAGGTCCGGTCAGCTCAGCTTCACTTCTTTTCCAGGGGAGGAAAGGGGGGGGGGGTGGCAGCTTGGACTTTGTGCAAAAGCCATCCTGCCCCCTTCCAACGCCAGATTACAAAGAGGCCCCTCTGCACACCCATGCGCCCTGGCCAAGCAGACAGGGCCCAGGGGTGGGGGGAACCCCCCACACACACACACACGCACGCACTCACGCCCTGGGAGTTCTTCGGTTAAGAGACACCCTGAGCTGGAAGGGGCTCCCAGGACCATTGAGTGCAAACTCTCAAGCAGGTGGTCAAGGGTCCCTTACCGGAGGGGGGGGGGAGAGAATCACTCTCTGTTTTAAAAGACCACCACCACCTATAGCAGCACATTCTGTTGCTGAGCAGCTCCTACGGTCAGGAACTCTCCCATCCCCATATAGTCAAAATCTCGTTTCTTTTTAAAATTTCTTCTGCTCCATTGCTCGCTTTCGCCTCTTTGCAGTGAGAGAAAACAGACCTTCCAAAAGTTTACAAACTGCCTGGTTCTTCCCGTGTTTCTTGTAAGAATGGCCGGCTGCTCGGTGCTCAGTTTTTCACCTTTAAGAAAGCCTCATGGTTCATGTGCTCCTTCCTCTGGCATCTCGCCCGGCATTTCCTTAGCCTACTTAAACCACTTTTCTTATAATCCCCAATATTCTCTCCCAGAGCGAGTACAGCCTCAGATCAGCCACATCCACCTGATAAAGGATGCTCTGTAGCTTTATTATTTAATCAATACACAGTGACAAAATGTTGGACCCTAACATGCGCAGAAGTCACAGCCTTCAAGCGGTGGGGAGGGAGGGAATGCAACTTTGAAGTCCGTAAGATGGTGGCCCTCCACGCGAGGAGGGGTGGACCCCCTTCTCCAACCCCAACTTCACGGGGGTGGGGGTGCTTCCTGTGGCTGATCCCACTGCGAAAGGGGGTGGCGCTCAGGGCCCCCTGGGCCAGAGAGGGTGAGCACCACCTTGACATGGCAAGGACCCAGGAGGAAGGTCAGGCCTCTAGGCCAGGGAGACTCCCTGCGCCCCCCCCCCACATACACACACTCCCTGTGTGCCTTCTGCAGCAGCTGCCCGGTGCCCACCACACCCCCAACTCTGAAGGCGCCCAGAAACTCTTGGGATGGTGCCAAGCGAAGGTCTCTCCGTCCCCCCAACCCAGAAGGCTCAAGTCTGCTGGAAGACGCCCCCCCCCCAATGGCCTGAGAGGGAGAGGGAGAGAGAGAGGCCAGACCCCTGTCTGGAATGGGTCTGGTGTTTTTTTTAAAAAAAGAGTGGGGCTGCAGGGGTGGCCACGGAGGGCCGTGGGGTGTCGCTTTCTACCACCCTAGGGACCACCCCCCCTCCGGTCCAGCACACTTCAGGAAGGAGCCTACTCAGGGCTCCTTAGCAGCAGGAGAAGCTGCTGCCAGAGGGGGGGGGGGGGACCTGCTGTTGCCGGTACGGGGCCACCCGGCAGCAGCCCCCAATCCCTCCAGCCCTCCCCAAGGAAAAGCCAGAGGGCAGGGGCGAGGCGCCCACCCCCACCAGCCAAAGGGGTGCCCTGGAGAGGCTTCTGTGGGGCAGCCCAAAGGGAGAGCCCCTCCCTCAAGGAACGCCCCACCCTGCCCCAGGGGCCGGCCGGAGGGAGAGCCCCCCCTGTGCGCCCAGGCGGCACCACAGCGGTGTGACCTCAGTCTGTGTCCGCGCTGGTGCCCCCCCCCCAAGGTGCCAGGTGTGGGCCAGCGGGCAGCTCAGGTGCAGTGGCGGCGGCAGCTGGTGGCAGCGACCGGGGTGGGGCTGTTGGGGGCGGGGCGGAGGGCGCGCCCGGGACCTGATCCGTTGCCTCTGTTGCTGCTCCGGAAAGAGTCCTCAGTACAGCCGCTTCTCATAACTGCAGAAGGGGTGGGGGGGCGCAGTGGGAGGGGGAGAGAGAACAAAAGGGTGGGTCACCTTGCCTCCCCACCTCCACACACAGTGTGTGTGTGTGTGTGTGCGCATGTGCATGTAGGTCCTGCCTCCTCTAATCCCAGAAGCCCACGTGGCACAGCGCTGAGCTCAAGCGTGGGAGAAGTGGGTTCGAATTCTGACTGTGCCTTGCCACAAGAGAAATCCCAACCTAAACTGGCCTGGTTTGGATGGGTTTGTGAGAGATCTGGACGCCAGCGGAAAGGCCACGCCTGGTTTATCTCTGCGAAGTCACCTTGGGACATCTTCAGACCGGTTCTGAGCTGGCGAACCGATTGGGGGGGGGCTCCAAAGCCCCGAATGGGTGACCAAAGCAGGTCACGGGACCCACGGGCAGCCCTAGTTTGAAACCCTACCTGACCTTGAAGCTCACTTGGGGGGGGGGGGGATCTCCAGGTTAAGCACCCTTTCTCAGCCTGAACTGTCTCATGGGGGGGGGCATCCGCTGCTTAAGCTACCCAGAGGAGAGGCAGCGCGTGACCCCTGCAGCTTGGCAGGAACCGTCAAAGCTCGGCAGGCCAGATCCCTCTCCTTCGAATTGGACATGTGGCCGAGGGGCCCCCGCCCTCCGAGCAGAGGCCCTCAAAAACACAGGAGTCGCTTGCCCTGCGCATACACACACACACACACACACACACACTCCACTCCAACCAAGGAGGCGGAAGCCCTGAGCTCACCCTCCCGAAGCCCCCACTGCAGGCCACGGGACACGCGCGCTGCTTCGGCCGAAGGTGCCCCACGGTCAGCGCTGGAGAATCCAGGCTGCCCCCTCCAAGGAGGCAGGAGGGCAGAGGGGGGGTGAGCAAGGCTGGGAGTGTGACAGACCATGCCAGGCATTGGGCAAGTGGGCGAAGGGAGTCACGCGTGGCGCTGGCCATGGACTGGAGTTGGCGCTGGCTGTGGAAGGTGCGGGGTCACCTGTGAAGGATCAGCCCCCGTCGGGGTCTCAGCCGTGGTGGCCCCCACCCTACAAATCTCTGGGGAGGGGGCTGCCTTTGACCCACCCCCCTCCACTGCAAAGCCACGAGAGCCACCGCCCTTGGGCCCCCTCCTCCCGGCGCTCTTCTTCTCTCTCCCAGGAGGGGCACCTCAGTCCCCCAGGAGGTCCAGCCCTGGCCACGGTGGCTTAAGCCACGGAAGAGAGGAGCCCCAGCGAGGCCTCCTGGGACTGGTGAAGCATCACCCCCCCCCAAGGCTCTCCTCTCGCTGGTGCCCCATCTTCTCCTTCCAGGCAGCTCTTTAGGAAGCGGGTGGCATGACTACTCTTGAGGAGGAACTGGAATTTTCCCGTTCCAACGTTTTTACAGTTTTCTATCATCGCCACGTTTTGCTGTGTTTGCCACCCGGAGGATCAGCTTCACTACTAGTGGGGCAGGAGGAAAAGGTCACTAAAATAAACAAACCAATCAATAAGCAGCTCTCCATCTCTCTCTCTCACACACACACACACACACAAACACACACTCTGTGGGGCATCTGCACCATCCGGCCCTCGCCCCCCCCCCTACAAACTTTGCTCACTGCAAGGACCTTGTGGACCTTTGGAGGCTGTGAAGGTTTTGGGTGGGGGGAGCTTGCAAAGCGGAGGGGAGAGTGGGGGGGCTGTGCAAAGGGAGCCTGCCCAGAGCCTCCTGTCTGCCCCCCCCTGTAAACGCCTGCCCTGATGTGGGGAAGAGGGAGAGGAAAGAAGGCAGCAGCGACTGACCCACAACCCAGACAGGCAGGGGGGCAGAGGTGTGTGGGAGGGGAATGGACCTGCCGGTTCCCGTTACTTACATGGCAGAAACGTAAAGCTACAGGAAGGCCGAGAAGGCGGCGTGGGTGGGAGAGAGAGAGAAGAGGCGACAAGGTCAACGTGCTCCCGGCCAGGACAGAGAAACCCAATCCCCACGGTGGACGGAGGGGAGCAAGCCCTCCGGCTGAATCAGCATNGGACAGAGAAACCCAATCCCCACGGTGGATGGAGGGGAGCAAGCCCTCCGCCTGAATCAGCATCCCTATGGCCTTGCGTGCTCCCCCTCCCCCCCCCGGCAGTGCCTGTGAGCCCCCACCACCTCAAAGCGCAACAGCCTACAGGCGCTCAGTCCCAGCCACGCCGCACTACGAAGCCTGCTCGAGAAGCGCCTACCACGCCTACTACGGCCCCAGCACCACCACCACCACCCCTGCCCCAAATGTCCACTCCACCCACTGGCAAAGAAAGCCGTTGCCCTGCATGGGGCAAACGACAGGGGAAACAAAGGGAAACCCCCCTCCCCATAGCCCAGCCACCCCCCCAGGTAGTCACTGGCCCCCAGGTCCCTCCACCAAGAGCCCCACTTAGAAGTGCCCCCTCTCCCCAGGCAGCCTTCCCCTCCCGACAGCAGGCCACCTCTCTGCCCCCAAGGCCAGAGTTTCGGCCGCTCTGAGAAGGCTTTGCTTTCAGAAATGGCCTCCCAAGGAGGGCACCTCGTGGCAAACCCAGTTTCATCCGAGCAAAGCAAAAAGCAAAGCGCCCGGCATCGTAAACCTTTGCTGCTGGACGCTGCCGCCGGGAGAGACGGCGTTCAAGGGGGGGACTCCACCGGGACTCTGCCCGGGGCCGGCCAGCCAGTCCCAGGGAGCTGGAAAAGCTTGCCCAAGGCTCTGAAGAGAAGCCCTGGACGGATCCAGCCCGCAGCCACGGGGACGAGGCCCCGACGCTTGGAGGCCGGCTGCCAGGAGGAAGGAGGGCGGCAGAAAGGGCGGCTAGACCCTTCAGCCTTTCGCTCTTTATTTAAAACTATGGACGCAGATGAAAGAGAGAGAGGAAATTTTAAAAATCAGAACAAACCAAAAACAAAAGACGGAGAGAGAGTTCAGCCCCCGGGTAACCGGGACAGCCGCTGCCTCTGCCAGCTTTGGACTCTCCTGTCAATTCCGGGACCGGGTGGGGGATCATTTCTGGGGTCCCCCCAGCCACCGCAGGGACCCCCGCCACGCGTTGCTCCGTTCCGTGACACCCGTTCAGGAACAGAAGGGAAATCTTACGCAAAGACTACCTATTTGGCATTCCTTCTGCAGGCGAGACCCCTGTTTCCATGGAATTTTTGACAACGTCTTTGTGGGGGGGGGGGGGAATGAGGAAAGGAGGCGGAGGTCAGCGGAGGGAGGGAGGGAGGCAGAACCTAGGGAACAGGGAGTGCTGTCTGCAGGGTGGGGGGGTGGATGGACAGAAGGCAGGGCGGGGTGCCTAACCTCCCCTCCCCTGCCCCAGCCACACAGTGGCCCCTGGCCACGCTCTGTGGCTCCTGATGCCTCCCTCACCAGGGGCGGCTGCTCCTCTTCTCCTGGGGGATCTCAGACCAGCCCCCTCCCTGGCTGGAAGGCAATCCCATCAAGAAGACCCCACAGAAGCAGGGGGAGCCGGCAGACACAAAGGTCGGCCCCCACACCTGTTTCACCGTGAGGCCAGTCCTTCCTACGTAAGAAAAATGGGTGCCATTTCACGCTGCTTCCTGGGGGGGGAGGATTTTACGAAGAGCCTATCATCTACTCAACTCTGCACAGGTGGAGGGAGGGGAACCCCAGCTGCCTTAACCAAAGAAGTTCTCTGGCAAGGTCAGGGGGCCTTCTGGGTGGGGTGGGGTGGGGAGCCTCTGGAACAGGCCTCCGCAAAGAGGCTTTGGCGGTGGGGAGGGAGCCTCACCTGGGGGGGGGACATTTCTGGGTGGAAGGCGCTCCATCTCCAGTCTCTCTCTCCTCATCTCCTTCCATGCACTCTCCTGCCACTTCCGCTCCCCCCCCCCCGCAAACTGCATCCTGTGGATTATTTACAATGAAGGCAGTGGGGAGTTTTCAGAAGAGCACCCCAGCATCTTTATGTTCGGCTCTCTTTCCGCCCTCACAACCCCCCCCAAAGAAATTCCAAAGAGCCAGTATGGGAAGGCACAGGGTGCCCCCCTCAAAGCTGCACCCAGCCCTGTCTGGGCATGGAAGGGAGAGACGAGGCAGCAGGAGCCCCTCAGCCTCTGACATGCTCTTGGCAGGGTTCAAGGGCCGCCCCAGCAGCTGTTGACATTTTTTTTGGGGGGGGGCTCTCTCTGCACAGCACAGGAGACGCATTTCTGAGCTGCAATGCCTGCCTCTCCGGGTTCTGCGCCGAGGGTCCTGCAGAGCCACCCCTGGGGCCGGCCTGCGCCCTCCGGGTGGGGGCAATTCCTTAGAGGGAAAGCAGGCTCCACCGCAGCACCAGGAGGAGAGGCAGGAGCAAACTGGGTCGTCCCCCCCCCCCGCCAAGAAGACACTTCTGGAAGGGGGTCACCAAAGCTGCAGGAGGCTCAGGACTCTGCTCCCCCCCCACACACACACGACACTGCAATGAGCCAAGCCAAGAGGGAGAACTGGCTCTCTTCCTCTGTGCCCACCCACCCCCAACCTGTCCCCCAGCATGGCCAGCACCTTAAATGGGCCGAGGAGCTGAGGGCCCTGGTTTCCTCGGTTCGCAAGAGGCCTCTTTGAGAAGCGAGAGCCCGGCTTCTCCCGCGGGGCTGTGCAGGAACCTCAGAACGGGCGAACCCCGGGCAAGAGGGCTGAATGCCCCCTCCTCCTGCCTTCCTCCGCCTGGGTGCCCAAACCAGCCAAGTGTCCGGTTTTCTCCTTCGTGGAAGAAGCGCGGGGCTCAACGCGAGCTCGGGCATCACCTCGGGCATTTCCGCCCAGGCAGAAAATCCACCAGTGGAGACGTCACCCTCGGGCCCTAAGGAGAGTCCGGTCCCTTCCCTTTCCCCCCCCGTCAAGCAGCTCTGACCGACCAGCAGTTTCAGCTCTTCTTTAGGCACCACCTCCTTTGCAGAAATTTGGACCCCTCCCTTTGGCTCCTACGCTCTGGAGCAGCAGAAAACAAGGCCGCTCCACCTCCTACACCGCTGCCCTCCAAATACCACGGTCTATATGCGCACACACACACACACACACACACCACTTCTCTCCTCCAGACCAAAAAGGCCCCGATCCTCACAGGCCTTTCCTATCCGGGTCACACCAGTCACGCTACAAGCAGGAAAAGGGACAGAGGTGCATGGGGGCGGGGGAGGTTTCCCTCTCCAAAGGCGGCCCCCACTCCCATGCCCTCCACCCCACCCCTCCTCACACCCACGGCTGCCCGGTGGCTCTCCTCTCCCTAGATAAACCCCAGAAAGGCAGGAGCCGTCGTGGGTCCCCCGGTTGCGTGAGGGCAGGAAGGTAGCCTGGGAGGGGGGAGGACCGGAGGAGGGGAGAGGGACACCAGCCGAGCGCCCGGGAAGCAGCGAGGGAGGGAGTCAGGCGAGGCCACGATCCAGGGGTGGAAGAGGCCAAGGAGAGACTTACGAGTGGAGACTGTGCACCCCACCCTCAATCTGGGCTGACATGGTCCGCTTCTCGAACTTCAGCTCCCCGGAGTACATCATGGCCCTGGCAAAAGGGAGAAACAGACAGGGTTCGGGGGACTCCTCCTTTGCCAGCCGCGTCTCTCCTCCTCCTCCCGCCAAGCCTCTGTCCTCCCCTGCGCTTGCAGGGCCTGCTTGCAGGAGTTTTGCCGCAGCCCCGTCCCCTGCCACCCCTCTGCCTCCGCTCCCCCTCCAACCGCTCCTCGGGAAAGGCCCCAGCTGCCCTTTCAGGTGGGTCGGCCAAAAGGTGAAGGCGGCCTTTCAGAAAGGCCCCAACCCGCTCCGACTCTGTGCTTCGGGAAGGAAATCAGAACGTTTAGAAATCAGCTCGTTTAAAAGAGTCTAGGATTCTGGCAATTTTAGAAAACTACAGCCGGTGTGGCTACTAATCTTGACTCCCAGGCATGGGACTCCCTTGTTCAGGAGCAGTCTACCTCAAAGAGCAGCAGAGACTCACCAAGTCTCATACCAGGGAGACCAGGTCACACAAGGAAGGCTCAGTTCATGGGTTTCAGGGGGACCCTCGGCCGGCCACGTTTTGAAAGAGAGGGGCTAAGGCAGCCAGAGAGGGGGAGGGGGAGTCAGATCCGGGGGAAACCGAAATGGCCCTCCTTCCAAGGGCCACCTCTGGCCACAGTGGGATGGGGCTCTCGCTGACGGCGAGCGGCTACCAAGCCTAAAGCTGCAAAAGCACGTGGAGGGCCTCTTGCACCCTGACGTGGTGAGGAATGCCCTCCTGGGCACCCCCGGGCGTGTGCCAACACAACGGAAGAGCGGGAGGGAGAAACCCTGCAGGCCAAGTGCTCGGAACTGAAGCGCCTGCCCCCCTCCCAAGGCTTTCTACAGGCCCCCCCCATCCCATAAAACCAGTCTCTCTCTCTCTCTCTCTGAAGAAGGAAGTGATCCAAAATCCTGTTGACGTCTCTCTAAGCGCAGAGGCAACTAAATGCCACCCGCCCGCCGCCTCGTCGTTATCTCCCTTGCCCGCCCGCCTCCTGCCCTCACCGCTGCCGCCCCCGCCCGTGCGTGTGCATGACAGCATCAAGGGACATCTATTTTGCACTGACGGCTCTGAGTCACAAAATGACAGCCCGCTTGGCGGCTGCCAATCAAAAAGATGCTACTTTCACATCTCCCTTCC